TGGACTCTTCAGATGACCCGGTCCTTCTATTCCATACACACCAACAAATGCAGATCAAGACAGTCAGGGCATTTGGGGGCAGTCAGTGTAGCGGCAGTCTTCGTATCAGTAGGCCTCAACATACACAAGGGAAAAGGCAAAATCCTCAAATACAACACGGAGAACACCAACCCAATCACACTTGGTGAAGAAACTCTGGTAGAGCTGGAGACTTTCGCGCTCATGTGTGAAATGCGGATCGTTTTCGACCCCTTTGTATTAAAATATGGATACCATATTGCGCCTTGCTTTCCGCTTCGTTGATTTCGCAGTTTCATTGAACTCACTGTCTTTCGAACTGACCTGTTCAAAAATACTGCCTTCAAGCAGCTAACCTTTGACTAAAAATAGGCAGTGAACTGTTGGCAAAGGTTCAATGGGACTAATCTGATTCCTCCAAATGCGAAACTGCCGTATGCTGCTCCACTGCCTAAACTCAATCTGTTTCTACGGTAACTTAAAAGAAGCAGTGTCGTTACTTGGTAATAAATTTGCATCTGACATGTCTTCACTTTCCTTGTTTTTCAACACAGGAATTACGGTGACACTTTTAAAATGCTCACAAGTGCAGAACAAACTAATTATTAGCCGGCTATCGGTCTTCCTATCTAATCATCAACGAATGGAATTCATCAACTCAAGATGTGATTGAAGCTCCATTTGTCGACACTTTCAATAGTAAGTTGGATTAACTGACAGATTTCCATTGCCAGAACTAACATAGCCTATCCTAAGTTTCTTTTCGAAATGAAACTGAAACTGGAAATATCTTCTTTCCACCACATTTTTATTGTTTATATTATTTCATGTGATCTGAAGTAAATGTTCCATGGTTTTCCACATCAGATGAATGTGGTGATTTAATTGTGTGGTAATTTCCATTTTCTGCATGTTAAATATTAATCTCAGCGTCCCAGAAGTTGGTTCTTCACAATAGCACGTCATAGTAATGTTGTAGTTATTACTGGTCCCAGAGGTGATCTGCACTGCATTATGTTAGCATGTTTCCTCACATATTTTCGCCCCTGACACTGTTTTCGAGCTCCTTTCAGTTTTTCGGAGCCCTCAGTGTAGAATCCCAACTACGGTTTGGACCGATGAATAGCCGTTCAGGTAAGTTAGACACGCGCGCTCGCCCGTCAAAATCAAAACAAGTAATCGGGTAAATATCGGTTCTATAATTCATCATAAATTTAAATGTACATCGTTACCTGAACAAATATTACCACCCGGCTATTCATCCAATAATTGTCCAATCAATCAAATCCCAATGACAATAAATAAAGAAGTTGATAAAAGATGCGGGAAAAATTACCAGTCACAACAAATGAACGCTATTCTATCCTGACTGGATAGAACACGCACAAAAGTAAAAGCAAATCAATGTGGCTGCCGCCGAGAACAAGTATCAAGTAAAACAACATAGATGCAGTTCGGGAAGAAACACAAAAATTTAGTGAAGGCGTAAGAAAAATAACAACTATAATAAAAAACACAAATATTAACAACCCACGTGTAATCGAAAGACTAACAATGTACAATTCAGGAAATCAATAGGAACATATTGCAAGTGTATACATGGAGGGATTTTCACACACACACACACACACACAAAACATTCAAAACGGATCTTACACTCAGTATTGTCAACAAGCTTTCTTATAGATATTATTTGGTTTACAAGCACGTCGTTGGTGAAAACCTGGTTGTTTGACGTTGCGTTTCTTGGCTTTTACGACTATGTAATAAAGCCGCTATCTAGGCTAGTAAAAAACAGGCTATTCTCGGAAGTCTCCGATCGCATGCTTCAAATTACTGAAGTAAGATAATCAAGTAGTTCGTGTGGTGTTATAGTCTTCACATTTCAAAGGAATGCTCAGTTTACCTCGAGTTTAAATAAGACAAGCTAACATGAAATCGCGCGAGTTCTTGTGAAGATCTTATTAAATTGCTGTCAACCGCGTGGCGTTGAGATGCGTAAACTGTTTTTATTTATCACTTCTAACCGGATTTTTGAATCCCTTCGAAAATCAGGCTATGTAAAGATGCTATTTCTTGGAGCGCTTACGTATTTCTGTTTCAAACCTGTGTATTTCAGGTGGCTTGGGCAGTGATTAAATTAACGTGGGGTAACAGTGTGTCAAGTTGAGCTCTCATCAAGACTATCAGCTTATCTTCTTACTTTCCAGGTTTAATGTTGGTTAGGAAAATTACGTTTTTATAATTGTAGTTTAAAGTGATCATTACTAACTTCACTAATTTTCGGTTTTATTTATTTCAGAGTATCATATTCGGAACTATATGACTCTCACGATTATGGGTTAACTGATTTTTGCAAAGATATTAACGACCCAGACAAACTAGCTACTAATTTGGCCTTGGGTGCAATCATAATAAAACTGACAACTCAATAAATCTTACTGGAAAATGATGATGTTAACTTCCAATGAACTGGGAAGATAGTGTTATCAAACTAAGTAATACTTAATTTATGTTTTTAAGCACATATTTAAAAGGACATGAAAATGTTTATAAATAAACTTTGTTTTTACTATGTAGTCAGACACCATAAGTCGTTTTCAACGCCACAACACAAAAATCACGGGGCGCTTTACAGACAAATTTGATTTAGGTCCTATTTTCTCGAAACGATTCGCTTAATTCCCCAGTGAGTCATATTTGGTACTTACGTCATGCAAACCACTTTACAGAAACTTCTTTGGATTTTATTGCATAGTGCCCAGTACTTGGCAGACTTTTACAGATCACTAAGTTAAATTAACTTATGAGTCGTTATACCAATATTTCTCAGGACTATCCAGCTCACACTCTGGTAGTCAGCGACTGATCTGTGTTCATATTAAAGAGGAGTCAGTGTGCGTACACTGCGGTCCTGTGTTTTATGATTCAACTCAGTTGGGGATTATTATTCAAAGGGATTTTATGTTGACACAAACACCACATTGCAACAGTCTGAATATATATATATATATATATATATATATATATAAATTTAATCCCTGTACAAAATAAGGAAGTGAATGAATACATGAACTTTAATTCTGTGAAGCTACTAAGATGTTTGCGGCCAACTCTTAACCTATCACCCTAAGTTGTTACAAACCTAAAATAATATAGGAATATGTAATAGACAATGAGTTAAAACTTAACCGGTCAAAATGTTCTGTCATGAATATTCTGCCTCATTTGATACAAGCAACTACATCCTCCATAGAAATCCACTCCCGATTGTCTCCTCAGAGCTTAATCTTATGTTTGTAACCACAGAGAGCTTAGATAACAGCTCAAACTACAGGACGGATTCAGTGAAGGCAAATGCAACTCCCCATTTTATGCTAAGAGTCCTTGGCGCACTCACTACAGGGTATTTCCCAACTTCGTTTAAGGCGTACACACGGCAGTACATTGAGATTCACAATATCTTTGAAAAAGACATCAGTCTCTTAGACCAAGTACGGAAACTGGCAACAAAGTGGACGATAGGCCTTAAACATAGATTGTACATGGACAAGCTCCAACACATAATATTATTCTCTACGACATACGGGAGAATAAGAGATTATCTGACAATAGCATACAACATATTAATTTCCACGTCACCCCAACACAAGCACAAGAACACCATCAGAACGCTCCTTGAGGTAACCCTCTAAAGATTGCACATCAAAGAACGATCGCATATGTGCGCTCCTATTTTTCCTTCTAAAAGTTACCTTCATTTAGAATATTCTCTCAGCTGAAGTGACCACGGCTTTAAAAGGAGACTTGATGAACCCGTGTTCACCCGAAGATAACAATCTCCCACTCGGAATAAATATGTCTTATGTACTTACCACGGTTGTCATTGCCACATATCAGTAACCAATTCATATCTCTCTTATTATTATTTCCGTTTACTCCCTTATTCTTCCAATTCTATCTTCTTACACCTATTATGTAAATCATTTGTTTATTCTTGAAACAATCCTCTTCACTTAGCACTCGAATTATCACATTATTATTTTCAGTGCAATCACCTAACTTCCCACCTGGTGATGCGATAGATGCTAGTATCCAGAAACCCTATCGCCCTGGGATAAACGCACTCACTGGAACTAAAAATATACAAATCCTCAACTAATTGCCAAACTGACTAGAATTAGTGCAGCCGAGTGTCTAGACTGTCACACATTATACATAACCAACTATCTGGGACCATACAGAAACATCAAGAAGAGAGAGCAAATAAATTATTCGGTTTATACAAGCACGTGATATAGTTATTAGATATTGGATGTATTGGAGTTGGTTTGGGTAGTGGCGGTAGGAAAAGTGTCGAAGGTCAGTTTTGATTTTCGGTTCTCCAAATACCTACTTCTGATGTCTAAATTGGGTCGTAAAATTATAAATACACCCAGGGCACCAAAATCTATAGGACCATACAAGTAATATAAAACCCAAATCTCCATTTTGTAGTCAAGGTGTAGCTGTGAATAACACCTTATATATTTCAGGCCAGTTGGGTCTTGATCCTGACACAATGCTTTTTGCTGGAGATGATGTTGAATCACAAACTCATCAGTCTCTTAAAAACATCAGAGAAGTAGTTCAGTCTGCTGGTTTTACTATGCGGGATGTTGTTAAGACCACTTTGCTTTTAGCCGATATGAATGATTTCGGGAAAGTTAATACGATATATGCACAATGTAATTTTTGGTACTAATAACTCTACCCTCTTTCAGATTTTGCAGATCCATATCCAGCTCGGGCTACTTACCAAGTTGAATGTTTACCGAAAGTATGTTGCTTGTTTAATTAATCCGATAATCAGAATGGGAAAATAGAAATAGAAGCAATAGCAGTTCGGGAGGAATCAGGATCTCAAGGAAATGAAAGCTTAGAATAATCTGGCTCTCCAATTTTGTCAGGAGCTTTGCTCAATAGAGTTCCACATTCTAGTAATGAATAAAGGAAACCGTAGTTCTTCACAACTTTGGAGTATTCTTGCACACGCAGTCAAGTGTAGTTACAAAGAAGGAAAGCCTAAATTATCTTGTAGCAGGCACTTTGAAACTAGTCGTTTGACGGAAAAGGTTTTTGAAGTCCATCTATTAGAACAGTCCGCCGAGGTGATTGTCGTGTGCATTTATCACTTAGTATTTGTCATCTCTTAGTTTTACTCCCCACAGTATTTATAACTAAACGTGTTAGGTAAGAATTGAATTTCTATTTGACCTGGAAACAATAAGCCACACCTCAATTCCCACAGCGGAAACAATTCCCAGCTGGTTTAGTTAATATAACTTCGTTAATAAAAGCATCCGTATTATCTTTCTTATTTAACCAGTATTTTTCAGTATTACAGATAATCGTCTGTTTCAAACATTAATTTTGTTTAGGGGGGTGTCAACGTTAGTACTGTATACTGAAACGTTTTTTGGGATTCTAAGTAGTCTAAAAATGTAACTATGCAATAACATACAGATTAAGAGATTCCAGAAATTATCGACTTGAGGGTTCCTTTTGAAGAGTAAAGCCGTGACTTGGCAAATCTGCCCATTAAAAAAGTGTTTTTGAGTTGCTTTACTGACTCGTTAGAAGTTCACTGAGGGAATAATCAAATTATTAATGTTGCTGTTTTTACATACCCCTGTTACCACTCGTGGAGGAGTATAGGCCACCCACCATAAGATTACATAGGCTTACCCTTATCCCTTTGAATTTTATGGATATACAAACTTGACAGTACTTTCAAACCTGACTAGGTTATCTGTACAAATAGAGGGTTTTTACACCCATGTAGTTCTATTTTAGCGAACTTGTGCCCATTGATCCTATTTCAAAATCCACGTCTCACTTATTGAAATATCTTTAGGACACTAACTCGATAGGTAAGGTTTCTTGTCTTACAGGCTTAGTTTTGGTTAGTCTACCAAACAAACGTTAATTTAAAAGTATTTTTCAGTGAATAACCACGTTGTCTCACTAAACATGTGTGACCGTGAACTGGACTTTAAATAAATCGTTTTCACATGCTACTACCTGTTATCCAGAGATAACTAACATTTCTGCTTCTAAGAAAACGAGGTTCAGAAATTAGAAATACTACGGCCAGTGGTGAATCAAGTGGGATTTTAGTTCCCCATTATAAACATATGGTTTTCTGTCACTTATTGGTTTGTGATTAACTTTAATATGGTTACATGATAGTACATATGTAACCATAAGAATAGTTTAAAGATACATATTGGATTTAAAAGTTTTTCCATTTTCAAATTTAGATGCCTAACAACAGCAAAGGCACTCTAATTGAGCCCATATATATTTACATTTGACCACCTTGTGATATTGTCGATTCGCATGTTTTTGATGTCCAAGACTTGGGTCCTTTTGGAGCTTGATCTGACTCGTGTTCCCTTAGTAGCTTTACTCTTAGATAAGATGTTTATCCACTTGTTTGTTACTCAAATGTCTGAACTAAAATATATCAAGAAATTTTCCTTATCAGTGGAAATGTCACTTATTTTTCACTTCGATCTTGCAGTGGTCTGTCATATGTCGCACTGATTGCAAATAGTTAATCAGTTTTCTAGTTATTTTCAACTTTGTGACCAACTATTGATGTGTAAAATGTGTGGAATTTAAATGACTAATAAACGAACTTAGTACTGGACAGTTTGTCAGCAAATGCCACAAATGATGAGAGGAGTTTCATGTATGCACAAGTTTCGATTGACATACATTGGTTTGGACGGTTTCATAGTATCACTAGCTCACAAAAAATATGACTCCAATTCGAGTTCATAAGTATTATTGGTAAACAATTTGTACCATATAACTAGCGTATTTTTTGTATAACTTGGAGGAATGTATTGTGATGTAATAAGAACAGTTTAGAAGCTGTATACTTCAGTACTTATTCTGTTGTAAACATTTTTTGCCACCTAAAACTCGATTCCGTTAAAAGCCAATGAATCTCTTTAAGGTTATCTAATCTAAACCCATTACAGCTATGGTAAAAGATTCGAGTAGTTTATGCGCAATTCGCTAACAGTACATTGCAGTTGAAAATGGAGGGACAAAGCAAAATGCAAAAGGGTGCTTAGGTTTTCAGAAATGATTCTCAGCCGTGTAGAATGAATATTTTATTGATCAGAATCTTAGTTCGTTTGTATTTCTGCAACAATACTGACGTATAATGCACAAATTAGTTCGGCAATATTTCATTTTAGTGCAAATGTTTAGGTAAAGAAAATGGATCGTCTGTTGAGATTGTGAACCTACACCAAATGGCTGTTTTATTGTTTTGACGAAGACCCGATTGTTAAATTGGTTGGCAGATTTCGTTAAGATGACATTGAACTGGATGGTTTTATTGTGAAGCATTAATTGTTTTTCTAAACACCAGCACTACAAAAACACATGAGCTACCGATATTTCTGTGCAAGTGACTAACAGCATATTTTTTAGAAACTGAATCCCATTGATTGTTGTCGACAGTTTCTCCCCTATTATCTCAGTAATATGAAAAGACATCAGTTCATGGAATTTGAGGATGTATCTAATGATCAAAAAAGTCACTTATATGTTTAACATTAATCCCGTCATGTGTAATGTGGGAATGAAGTCCTAATCATTAAATTGACCTTGTGAAAGAACTCTTAACAATAAAGGGTTTATTATCCATATTTTTAAAATAAAATCCAATGACCCTGACCTGTTTTGTGTTTTGACATGCGTATTTATATCCACAGTTTACATCACGTACTAATTATTCAGATAACCACAAAGCCAGAAACTACTGAACTACTTTTTTTTACGTAGTATGAAGTAGATAATAGTCACGCAATAGAGTGAATTGTGTCAACCATCATATACCAACTTAGTAGTCTAAGGGTTAGACACTCGCCACAAGGTCTAGAGGTCCTGAGTTGAACCCCTTTGGGTGTCTCGGATGTACACTGTCAAGGAGTCTTGTACTTGGACGAATCAGGTGTCTAGTGCCTCTTGGTTTTCAATGATCGTCAGTTTGTTTATTATTATTATTATTTGAACACATAAATATTGGTACAAGAGAGCGCCAAAATATATGCGCCACACAAAACAATGAGAATTCGAAGGGAAAGAAAAAAAAGGTAAGGAGCGTGAAAAAAAGAGAACAATAACGAAGAGGTTGGTGTAAGGTAGTGTAGTAATAATAATAGTAATAATGAGGGAACGGAAAGGTACAATCAGAAGAAATCTTTCAGTTAAGGAAGACACAACCACTTTTTATGAAGAATGTAAAAGGTTACACCAGGATCGCCACTGGCTTCTATTCTGAGCCATAGCTGATAACGTCTCTAGCCACTGTGTTGCACCATCTCTTGGACCCCAACCAGGGAGTCGTGAAGGACCAACACAAGCCAGTCCTTTGCAGCTTTCTTTCATACCACGACACCATGTCATGCACTGACCACCTCTCCGCTTCTTCCAACCAGTCCCAGAGTCAGCAAATAATGCACGACGTGGAATTCTCTGGGACGACATTCGTAGAACATGTCCAAACCACCGAAGTCGATGTTTCAAGATGGTGACATCGATTGCATTATCATCTGTGCCCGAACACACGATGCCAAACCTCTGCATTACTAACATGACACTGCCACTGGATGTAACGCAAACTGAAAGTTGGGTGACCGTCACAAATCTCATATACTCTTCTAATGCATGTACATCGCTGATCTCGTATATTAGGAATTATATTTTGACTGTCTAAAGACTACAACGGATAAATCGTAGCAAAAATTTTCGTTGCGGATTTTCTTTGTAAATAATTATGTCTTCATGATGGTGCTTTTGGCAAAATTATAAAACAATGTGGAGTAAGTTAGACCTACTATATTGAGGACTGAAGTAATTTTGGAAACTAACATTATCTACTAAATGTTCATCGTGAGATAGTTTTTCTGGTAACATTCAAAATGAAAGTCAGCCCCATCCTTTCAGTTTTATGGTAATGGTTATTCGTTGTCTTTAATCAATATATATAGACTTCGTAATTGGTTATCTATAGCCAAGTAATTCTCTACAAGTTCATGCAATAGGATATAAGTCACTTATTTGTATTAGATGCAATTATATTGCCTGGTCATCCATATATAAACTGATTGGATAGTTTTTTATGAACGTAATATGTTATCCCTGAGTGATTTGAGTTCCTGATGAATTATGTTCAAATCCTACAATATTTCATTGAAGTATTTATTTTCATATATTTTCGATTATAAATAACAGATAGATGAAAATACTTTGTGGTTGGAACTTGTACCGCGTCCGGTTATTCACCAGTCAAATGATTCACTTGAATTACCCACCATTGTTTCTTCTTTACATGTACGGATCTATAAAACACTTAGTATCGCTAAAACAACCGACTCTTCTTGTATGAATCCATTGTTAGATGTGTTAACTGGTTTCGATAACACAGGGAATGTTCACTTATGGTCTAGTGAAATTTTATTGGCCCACAGTATGTTCTTTGATTGCCTTTATCCTGGTCTATGGAATGAATTGTATAATAATTTTAGTGATCATCCGATTGAAAACGTCTGTGAATTATGTGCTGGTATGACTGGTGCTGCTGGTTTAGCTATTTCTTTACGCAAATATTCAAATATATTTAAAACGTCATATGTGTTGATTACTGATGGTAATGATCAATGTGTTGCATCTGTCTCCTCTATTATTGAGCATAATTCTAAACGCTTATTGGATAATTGCAATCTTGATCAAGATTTCCTGTTACATATGGACGTAAAAAATATACGATGGCCAGAAGATGTAAGCTACATGTTGTGTAGTGTGATGTAAATGACTAACGAAACAATTTAACAACCAACCATAGTTTGGGATTTTCGTATTTATTATTATAAAGAAATTAACGAATAAGGCTTTATGAACCAGAATGATGTCTTGTTCGATTCTCAGTGAAAAAATAATCCGAATCAGTTTATTAGTCTCTTCTCAGTTAGTCATCACCGACATTATAAGATGGTGAAACTGTTCGGTCAACTAAACTTACATATTTTGCTCGTTTTCTATGTAATTCACTGTTTTTCGTGCCTCATACAATTGTTCCAGCTGATATTTTCAGTTAAATATTATGCTTCAATTTATTCATATTAATTTCGTCGAAATACACTGGAACTGCATCAGTTGAATAGTTATAATCAGAAAATAATGTGAAAATAAGTTGTTTTACTAATAATATTGGTCTTTGGCGGTACTAATGCTACTTTTTATTATTATAACTTGGGCAAGTCAGTTTCCTGTTTCCTGTTCATTTTCCGGGTCAGCAATTAGTGCTGGTTTACGATGCCAACTTATGTGAAAGTCTTTGTAAAATCTTTCGAGAATTTTGTTCAAAATATTCAGAAACAGGGAGATTGTGCATAAAACACTAAATGAGGAAAGGTTATCTTTGTGTTATGGATCGTTCAGAGAATACTTGTTTACAACATTGCTAAATAACCGAACAAACAAGAACCGTCTACTCGAGAATTCTTTGTCAGTTAAATGTTCCGTATGCCTACATGTGTGCTCAAAAATCATTTTAATCTGATGCATCATGTAGTCTAGTTGGACTGTTCAATAGGTTCACCGGAGTAATAATTTTCACTACAAATTAATACTATTTGAAGAAACAGTGCTAATTTGAAAAAGTACGAAAATGTCCGTTTACTCTTTACCTTTTTAATGACGTAACAAAGCCCATCCATTGTTTTTAGGATGAAAATTACAACCCCCATGTTTCATGGTGCGACCGTTTCTGTAAATCTTCGCTGAGATTAGAAACAAATACATTTTCCGTGCTTAGATATCCCCTCAATTATTTGCATTCGTGAGATGGTTCATTAGTTTATGAAAAGTAATACATTTCAACTGATTGCTGGATAGTAACCACTACGACTGAATTATTCGGTAAGCTGTTGCTGATGGTATTCGACCAACAGACATTGAGTATCTTACGTAGGCAATTGTTTACAAATACTTGTACATTTTGATGATGGCTGTAGTAGCTCTCGAAGTTTCAGTTCCGTACAATAGAGCTGTCTTGACGTTCGGGTTGAAGATTCTGATTTTCATGTTGGCTGATAGATGTTTTGAGTTCCATATGTTCTTCAGTTGTAGGAATGCAGCTCTTGATTTGCCGATCCTTGCCTCCATATCCGCATCCGATCCTCCTTATTTGTCGATGATGCCGCCCAGGTACATGAAAATTTCCAGCTCTTCCAGAGTTTCTTCACCAAGTGTGATTGGGTTGGTGTTCTCCGTGTCGTATTTGAGGATTTTGCCTTTTCCCTTGTGTATGTTGAGGCCTACTGATACGAAGACTGCCGCTACACTGACTGCCCCCAAATGCCCTGACTGTCTTGATCTGCATTTGTTGGTGTGTATGGAATAGAAGGACCGGGTCATCTGAAGAGTCCAAATCGTCTAGCTGCATCCAAGCTTTCTATTGTATTCCATGCTTATCCTGAAATGTGGAGGTCTTCATAATTTAGTCAACCACCAGAAGAAAGACGAAGGGAGAGAGTAATCAACCTTGTCTGTCTCCGGTCCTTACTTGGGATGCATCTGTCAGCTGTCCTCCATGCGCTATTTTGCATTGTAGTCCGTCGTATGAATTCCGGATGATGTTGACGATTTACTCAGGTACACCATAGTGTCGAAGAAGGTTTCATGATGTTCTATCCACGCTGTCAAACGCCTTTTTCGTAGTCAAGGAAGTTGATGTGTATAGTGACGAGTTCCATTCAATTGATTTTTGATCGATACGTCTACTGAATCTATCATCCGGCTCAGCAACACTGTTGGAAACTTTTCATAGTACTGATTGTAATGTGATGCTTCTGTATTTTTCAGACTTCCTCAGATCTTTTATTGATATCTTGATGAGGTATCCTTCTTTCCAGTCTGTCGACACTTTTTCCTTCTCTCAAGTCTTCCTGAATGGATTGTGGAGCACGTTCGCAGTTGCTTTTATATCTGACTTCAGAGCTTTATCTGGTATGTTGTCACGTGCTGCTGCTTTCCCACTCTTGGTTTGTTTGATGGCTATCCTGATTTCTTCAATCGTTTATAGAGTGACATCTATAGAGAGGTCTATAGGTGCTACCTTGAATTCGTTGATTTTGTTAATATCTCGTAGGGAGGTTGTATTGAACCTTAGTAATTCTGTTTCTTCAGCTATCTAGTGTTTCTTTAGCTTCAGTTTCATCTTGGCCACAACCAGGTTGTGATCTCAATTTACGTCAGCTCCTCTCTTGGTTCTCACATCCTCCATTGTCCTTGTGAATTTTTTGTTGATACAAATATAATCTATCTGGTTCTCTGTGGTGTGAACGGTGAGATCTATGTAGCTTTGTGTATGCGTTTGTGAAGTAATATTGTCCCACCTATAACCAATTTGTTGAATGCACATGGGTTTGCAAATCTCTCCCCATTTTCGTTTTTCATTCCTCAGCGTCCCATGATTTCTTCATATCCAGTGTTGTTCATCCTGACTTTGGCGTTTATGTCTCCAATCAGGGTGGTGAGATCCTTTCTATACACTTCGCTATGATTGATTGCAGCTTCTCATAGAACTGATCTTTATTGTGCTATCATTGGTGGGTGCACAACATTGGATAACTTTCATTGTGATTCCTTCCTTCTTTTTTTTGCAGGATTATTTGATGTTTCTGGTTTTGTAAGATTCCTATCCTATATGTGGATCTTAAGCTTTTTTGGACAGCATCAGAGCAACTCTCTGAGTGTGTGGAACATTTTCTTCTCTGTGACTGGAATACAGCAGCATCTTCCGAATCTAATCTTTTCTGTCCAGCTTAGGTCTGATGGGTTTCACTGATTCCGAGAACCGCCAAATTGTATCTCCTCATATCTGTAGCTATTTGATCAGTCCTCTCAGTCTTCTACATTGTCTGAACATTCCATGTACCTATAATAATTGTTGCTCTGGTTGTTAGACGTGCCATCGGCATCGTGATTTTCGAAAAATCTGAACTTTCACCAAGAGACGCCATAATTCTTCTGAATTATGGTCCTTTAATTCGGACGGCAGAGTTTAAATAATTTACATCGTTTATTCTGGTTAGCGTATTCTTAGCAAGGTTGTTTTCTACGGGATGGGGTTGCTGACCATATGCAGAGACAGACGGAGTTGTCGTACTTAGTGTGGAATATTTGAAAACCAGAGCTTATATTTGCTTGTACGAAGTATAAATGACCAGATGTTGGATAGCAAGAAGATTTTCGAATTACTAACTTTCAACTGAAGTAGTTTCGTAGTCGAAATATCTGTTATCTTATATACGATTTTTTTTCTTGTATACTAATTGCTTGATCACGTTTCTATCTTACTATATTTGTTTTATTATTACTCTTTAATTACTGACCTGATTTTATTTTCCAGTCTTCACGGTCATCATCGTCATTGATTGCTGAGCTAGATGAATCGTTAGTTCATCGATTTGATTTAATTATAGCAGCTGATTGTTTCTTTGACCAATCCTACCACCTCAGTATGTTAAATACAATCAATAGACTACTGTCTTTACAATCTGGATCAACATTTCTAGCTATTTCACCTTTACGTGGTAATAGTTTGCATAATTTTATTAATTTGGCTTATCGAATGGAGCAAACTTATAGTTGGACTGTCAAATTAATACCACCTTCAGACTACTTATCATCACAGTTTATAAGTTATTTAATTGATGAATCAAATCGTGTTCAATTTAATGACAGTGAATTAGATAATAAAATTGGTCATTTGATTGCTTTTACACGAACTAACTAGTGTTTTAAATTATTTTGGAAAAAGGAACGTAATATCATATTATTATAAAAGCGTAGTTTTTGTATTTGTAAATATTGTAAATAATAAATCAGTTTTCTACTTATTGTTCGAGATTTTTGTTTGGATGTTTTTTCTGTGTATTTAAAAATTCGTAGTCTAACAAAAGCAAACGGTAAGTGTACATGCTCATCTTTTACTTGAGATCTATTCACAGTGGTTTGCTCTAAAGAAACCTTCGTAGCAGTAGTCTATAGAATAGGATAGTCTATGAATATCCCGTCTTATTGAACCTGTAGTCACAACAAAATTTAAGCTTTTCTTGTGTGATGATAGACAACAGCTTTTATAATTCTATCAAACAAACTCGGGGATAATTGATTTTCGTATATACGATCAGTAGATGTGTGAGTGCTGTGATTCTTTTTATGTTTTACTTATATTTTCATCTGTATTGCTTCAAAGTTTTAATTCTCAACTTGTTTATCTTCTCATTTTACGCCATCTAAATATTATCTTGAGAAGTGGGTTTTCTTTTCGAATAAGTTTTTTTATCAATAGTCATATAAGAATAATTTTCCTACAGCCAATGACATATAGTTTCATCAGTCTCCACCCTAGTTCATGCATGCACTAATCACTTCATATCATTGCGATGAGTTAGCAAATTATGATACTGAACATTGTGTGGATAGCTTGATACCATTCATATAAACTAACAGAAGTTTATTAATTTAGATTTAAGCACTTATTTGGAGAGAGATTCAACTAATATTACATAGTAGGATTTTCAATTAAGATCATAAACTGATCAATGTTAGACCACAATTGAAGCACTGGACGGCTGTTTCACCCTAGTATGGGACTATTCAACAGTGTGCATCCACGATCCCGCGTGCGGGACCAAACATTAACTGGTTCATGATCTCAATTGAAACTGAACAATCTCCACAACCTTATACTGATAATGGTACGATTTGTTCGTAGTGTTTTGATACTGTCTGTGATTATATTGAAGTCAAACCATTTTAGTGTGTTTTCAAACTGACGTAGAATGATGAATAAGAGTGGTGAATACGAAAAGACTAAGACTTTTTAGTATATGATAGTTTCATAAGATGGATTTTTTTCTAGATAGAATTTACTTTCACAGTTGTAATCACGGACTGATCTTAGCTTGAACACCATTGAAAATCTGGAAACATTAAACAACCGTTTCGTCCCAGCATGTGGTTCCTCGGTGGTACTCATTTGTGACCTCCACGCGGGAATCGAACTCGAGACCTTTCGTCTTGCGCGCGAATGCTTAACCTCTAGACCACTGAACTGGTATCCGACTGTGTTATTGTCTAACTTGCAAAAGTTTTATGTAAAGGTCATGTTATATCTGACTTCTTCAATTAGTACTTAATTAAATAAAATCATTTGAATATGCTGTAGTTTGATATGTCTCTTGCCTTACGCAATGAAGGCAACTTTTTAAATAGTCTAGTGGGCATTTCGAAGTTGGTTTTCAAAAAGTAATACCATCTAAAGAGGTTTTGAAAATCAATGTGAAGATCCAACTACTGTGGTATAATATTTTCTGAATTCCCAAAAATCCAAACTTACAACATACTGTCAGCATCGATACATGAACTTCCTAGTTTCACTGTCCACTGGGTCAGGATCCAATAATCCACATTTCTAACTTCAATCAGTCTGCGATATAGCCCTAAGATCATATGATTTTATATCATAGCTGTCTGTTTTGTTTTTAGTAAATTATCTTAGTCCTGAAAATTTCATCTTTTCGTAGAATGTTAATTATATTCTTAAAAAGGTATTTAGTTTAGAATTTCACAAGTGCTAACTATTTCCAGACTTACTCACTTATATGTTATTACTAACGTACTGATATTCAGACGTGTTAATTATCAGTAGTATAGGAGTTTTGCTCAACATTTAAAACTTATGGCTCATTAAAATAGTAATGACAATAACATAATTCCTTTTTTACTCTTTTTTATTTTTAGTACTTATTTCTAGTTGTCGGTGGTTTTGCTTTATTTGCGTCAGCTGTTTACATTAGATTTTACAAAGTAATTGAAACTTCGATCTTTTCATATGAAAATCAATGTTTTCTTACTGTTATTAGTATTGAACTTGACAGTAATTTATAATTTGACAGTAGCTTTCATCATTAACTTATACCAGTTGAAACGTATCGAACAATAGTTTCATTCTGATTTTCCATGGTTATTTAATCAATACACGTTCAGTAACAAATTCGATGGATTTCCAGGTAGAATTCAATTATATACACACTATATTTGCCATCGTTGGGTCACATTTCAAATCTTAAGGCGATCTACCTAACACAGATTTAAGATCAGGGTAATGGTACAAAAATGTCGTAGCTTATAATTTAGTGTCGTTACTTGTTTTCTCATGTGATAAATAAACTGTTAATACTTGGATTTATCAAGGGTAGTTGTCTGTTTTGCCAGCTCTACACGGTAATTCCCTTGTTTTCATTATTGGTGAGTAGAACAGTGATGCGAATCGGTAGAACACTGCTCATGTGATCCGGTAAATAATGCATTCACAAACTGGTGACTTGGGTTTCGATACAATTTTTTTGTTTTTTATTACCTTATCTATGACAGTAATTAGATTGCTAAAATCGAGCAAATGAAGTTTGAGGATATTAGATTTCTTCAAGGCCAGATTACTAAAGTTAGATTATGTGGTCCAAAATTTGAAAGCAACATCTTATTATATTTTCCATGTTGTCTTAGTTATCACTTATCATTTAGACGTATCTGATATGTTGAAGACAATTATTCTGTCGTTTTAATTGTTCCATTTTACCGAGTATTGGATAAAACATCAACCTATCATGAGTGATAAAATTCTCGTGAGTCATCAAGGAATCGTGGACTCAGTTTTCGTGCTTGTTGGCACTCGTTAGCAAGGTATAGCTATAATATTGACAGAAGCGATGCTCTTTGTGTGACTCGAACCCGCGTTACACAGCTTCATATCAGATTATGAATATTGTTATACATTACAAATTTTGATTATTACTCTGAAGTCCAGACAAGTTTTCTGGGAGAATTTAGATTTCAATCGCTGAGATTATTTCAAATATAACTTTCACATATAATGACTTCTCTATACTCAGTGCCCAGTTTCCGTCACACTATTCGTTCTAATATTGACGAATATTCATATACATTACAAATTGTGTTCCAAGTCGCGTATGCTGTGTATTACTACCATCTAATATACATGCATTTCACTTTGTTTTTTTCCGTAGTTAACTGTTACACGACCTAGTAAATATCTTTGTCCAATGTCTCAGTGTTCACCACTCATTAAAAATATGTCATGGGGTTCCATTACAGTGGAAACAATATCTGAAGATGGAGCAATTAATCCAAACAAGTTAATCACATACCGAGATGCAAAACTGTGGCCAAATGGTAGTCGTGCATGGGATTGGAACGAATCTGGCACTGGTCATTTTGCAGGGATTCAGAAACAGGATGTTGATGAACTACTCAGTTATAAACCAAATATTATTATACTGAGTAAAGGAGTACTATCTCAGTTGAAAGTACCGCAATCATTAATTGATCACATAAATCAATCTGATCCACGTATTAAAATAATAGTAGAGACGAGTAAAAAAGCATTCAAATTGTATAACGAATATGCAATTCAAGGTGAACGTGTTGCAGCCTTAATACATTCTACTTGTTGATAGAATTGACGTTTTATTTACAATGCTATGTTATTTTTTGTTGACTTCCTTATTTATCATATCATCACCGTATTTGAGATAGATAAACTCTTTATAGTAAGATTTTTTTGTCATCGGACTGTTTGTTTAAAGGAAAAAATAATACCTTGGGTATTGATTTATCGTACACTTTTATTTTTGAATTATGTTTTGTTCAATACGTCGGGATGATAACTGGGACTGTAGTAAAAAGAACCTTCCGTAGCGACAGGATCTAAACCAACGTTTTATATAATAATAATTAAACAAGTTAAATCACAGTTTTACTTCACACACTGAGTAGTACTTTGTTCAGATATCATGTAAATGAGAAATGTGCAACTATGCAGCCAGATCGCGTCTTCCTTCAAACCAAGTTTAATTAGATACATTGAACAAGTAATTGAATGGTTATGGGACTACGTACATGAATGGTGATTAAAGGTGGAAGAAAACCTTCCTATCTTTTAGTTTCTAGGTAGTAAACACTCAAAAAAGTGAACTGTAATGTTAATAAGTGTAACTGATACCTCGTACAGCAGTAGCCTTAACTTTCACAAAACAAAAATATCAAAAGATAGCCAATAATAATCTTTGGATCGGAAGAATGATCAATAAACAACAATAAATCAAAATCGAATTCACGAATCAATCTAAGCTAAACTATCATTGAGAACGTGGAAGCACTGGACGGCTGTTCCATCCTAGTATGGGATTCGGCAGTGTGCATCCACGATTCCACACGTGAGACTGGGATCCAGGACCATCGGTTCCGCGCACGAACGGTTAACCTCCAGACCACTGAGCCGGTATCTAGCGTGTACGATCGTGGATACACACTGCTGAGAAGTCCCATACTAGGTAGGACGAAACGGCCGTTCAGTGCTTACAGGTTTTCGATGGTGGTCTAGCTTATATTGCCTCGTGAATTTGACTTTGAAAATACTGCAATATCTACAAATCCCCATATCGATAACAATGAATCACTTGAGAAATAAGTGTGAAAATAATTTTTTTTGGGAGAAGACTAGATTTTCGTCTTGAAAAATTTATTTGATTCAAATGAGAAAAAACTAATTGGTTTATGGTTGATAAATAATACACATTATATCACAAGTTATTTTTCAAGAAAACGAACACATTAACATACATAGAAAAGCAATACTTATCATATCCCTGAGTTAGGTTCAGTACGTGAAATGCATACATATTAGTACATTGATTCTCATTATGTAATATTCATCCATAAATTTAATCGTATAAGATAAAGGGAAATTTAACAAACATCAACGACAACCAAGATAAAGCTGAAATAATAATGAAACAATAATTATAAATGCATATTTGATCACCAATTAACTTGTTTTAAATCAGACCAATTATTACCAATTCTCAATTTTACTGGGAGTGGGATATTGATATTGCAGTGTTTACTTGTATTAGACATTGTTTGTCGAATTAATGCGCCGAATTGTTTAACGGATGATTCAGGAAAAATCTGAAATATAAATGTATGAAGATTTAGATATAAATTGTGAATTGATTGAATTTGGAAACGCCAACGGTCAGTTGTTTGCAGGTCAGGCGCTCATCGTGAAGCCTAAATGACTAGGTTTCAAACCATGATGGAGACATAGGTGCACATTACTGAGGAGTACTGTAGTAAGGTGAAGGAGAGCTTCTTGGGTTGTTTTGTTATAGAACGAAATAGATTATTTATGGGGTCAAACACTACTTACTTCATAGATTAATTCATCATGTTCATGTAAGACAAGATGAGCATAACCGGGAATATTAGATGAATGAATTGCTTGGTCAACTGCTAACATAGCAATCTTAGCTATTTCCGATGCACTTCCTTGAATGATATTATTAACAGCTTGACGTTCAGCCTAGTGAAAAAATAAATCAAAGATAAAAACATTAATAAACACGGGAATAATTAATCATAGACATGGTTGCCCCACAATGCCCTGGTACGGCCGAGAGTGGGGAGAGTCCGTCCTCCCTCTCGAAATGCTCTCATAAGGCCACGCGTATACAGCCTCTGCCAGGGAAGTCCTACTCACTGCCTTCTCGCACCACGGGTGTTATTTACGAAATTGAGAGGACGATAAGTAAACGTCCAGCGTTTTAACCGGGCCGGTGGACACGGTGAGTCCACCTAGGGGAGTTGGAAAACCCTGATTGCAAACCACTGGCGCACATGGGCTCCAGTATCTTAAGGGAACAAATGGCGTATGGACCAATTGTTGGTCACCGGCTACCATGGGACTGCATCTTCTCACGACGCTCCACTGCCTTGTGGGTTAGACCTTTAGGTCAAAGGCTAGGGGTGTGGCCCACTAAGAAAACCACCTGCTTCGGTCTGGGCACCCGAGCGGTATCACAGCCCACACATAAATAGAATGGAATGAAATGACGATATCGTGCGGCGCATAATGATTTTGATCATTCGATCAAAAACTAAAACTCTGCCCCAGCCTATACTTTACATTAGATAACTGCCGCTCAATTTCAGAATGGGAATCGACAGCTGACGAAATTTTGCAGGTCTTTCAACTAATATCAGTTGGTGAAGTGGAAAACAATTGAGATTTTAAAATTTATAACTAAAGCAAATGATAGGTATCATAAAATCAATAGGCGGTATTGTTCATAAAGTAGAAAATACTAACCTTAATAACAGCAAAATGATTCCGTACATCATGCTTTTTCGACCAATTACAGTTGAGTTCATAAGGTGTATCGCTGTCAAATACCGTTTTCGAGTTTAACGCAGGTAGGAGACGGATATGACCATTAAGTGTTTGAATTTGACCTTCACGATGAGCAGTTAAAACTGTTGTTGTAATAAACTTTTGAACACCTACAGTGTTTTTTTTAAGAAAGGATGTTTCAAAGAATGAAATAACTAGTAATCTAAAACACAACTCCGATAAAAATCAGTGGACAATGAATTAGAGCTCTTTTTCTATACAGATCCAGAAAAAAAAGAAAAATTTATAAAAGTACTTCGGATTGATTATTTCAGAGAGTGAGGTTTTAAACTGGCAGTTTAGATGATAATATTATCGTTAAACTTATCTTCCTTTATTTGTGAATACTTCACTGTGGTTATTTGTTTGCCTTTTAAAAGAACCATAGAGACGTGCATTTTATTGGTGCTATTACCGAGTACAAAGTGATCTCGACCAACTTATTCGCTAATATGTTTATTTGTTGCGTATGATATTAAATACTGAGATATTTATCACACGTAACAATATTTTCAATTCTTAACATGAAATTCTAATGTAAACTAAATAGTATCCAAGACAAATTTAAAATAGCTTTATTATTCATTTCCTTGATGAATTACCGTGACAGAAGTAGAAACGTTTCTATTGAATGAGGGTAACTTTTTCAGTCTGGTGTACACTGCCTCAATTTCAAGTACTAAATTGTATTTACTGATTATCTTGATCAACACCCTTTTGTAATGTGTACAGTTTCTGCATTAATCAATTGTGAGAAAAATGAATTCTAACAGTGTTTGCTAGGTATATTAAGTGACCTACAAAGTATAAGTGTGTGTGCACGTGTAGACCTCATTTCTGTTGCATACGTGTGTATCTGTTATATAAGTTTGCAATGAGTTGGCATAGATTTACTATATTATCTGTACTTATGGAAATTATTTGACGTGTTCTTAATATACGCCACAGTTTTAGTGTACATATAATATTAGCACTTATTGATTTGCTGATAAAATCATTTCTTTAAGTGGTCGGCCAAATCACTTAACATTTTGACATTTTAACCGAACATAAAGTTAGTGTACGTGAATAGACATGATGACACTAATGAGGACCCAAAAATCGAACTTGGTAAATTACTCATATAAATAAAAAAGATCGAATATAAAAACTTTGCTGCCTAAATAACTTTGAGATGTAATTTCCAGATTTACAATGAGTAGCCATTAACAAGTCGGGTACGAGATAAATATTACCAATGACAATGCATAGTGGTCGTAAAATATCATTAACTGAGTGAAGTTAGGAACATAAACCATTGAACTTAAACAGAATAGCCCAAAACTTAAGCATATCCTTAAAAACCTGAAATTCCAGGGTTCGACCCCTAGTAGTGTCATACATGTTCAGTGTTGAATGGTCACGAGCAAGGAAGAAATAGATGTTCAGTATTCCTTGACTTTCAATGATTATTTAACTACGAGCATTCTGTCATGTAAATTACTACATTCAGCAATCTTCACAAATTCCCGTATAATATAAACAAATAAATTAATTGAAGGATAATTTTTTTAAAATACCACAAATACTAACCGTATGTATTATTTTGATAAATCAACTGAGTCATTTACCTGGATAAGTGTTTAAAAAGCTATCAATTAACTTTTGGGCATTTTGCTGAGATATATTCAATTGACTAGCCAATGTTTGACAACCCATTCCATATAGAATAGCATAGCATAACTGTTTTGCTTGTTGACGTTGAACATCGGTTACTTGATTTGGATGGGGTATATTTAACCAATGGGCAGCTAACTTTAAAAAAAATATGCATTTAAAAAAGTGTTAATTTAGTTTCTTTTTTTTCAATGAAAAAGGTGATCACAGAGTTTACTACAGGTTGTTAATAATAGGGAAGTAATTCTGATAAATAGTTAATAAATATATTAATTTTAAACAGGACAGCATTAGTCTAAGTGAAAGATACAATTAATAATACAATGCTGTAAGGACGAATAATAAATCGTTTGCGAAATAAGAATACAGGTTAAAAATCAAAGAACAAACGTTTATCCACCACTTAATATGAATTATATATAAGATATTTAATTGAAGAATAAGTTAACAGAATGACAGAGGAATTTAATTTAGAATATAACAGTACAGACTTATTATAGCATTTATACAACCATGTCAGTTTTCTTGTAGCGGTTTTCAAGAATTCCTTAACACGATAATGTGAACAAGGAAACCTAAAAAAGTGGAAAAAGAGACTGATCCATCGAATGTCTACCTTTCATCATATTTCTGTTTGTTGTTTTATTTTTCCTTATCAATCAATGAATAGTTAAGTTATCTGGAAAAAAATTAATGGAA